TCACCATCAGGCTGCTGATACACTCACCTCACAGGTACAGGTTGACTTGTTGGTGGCACCATACTCCCAATATATTTCTGCTGGGATTCATTTTTTGTGTTGCAGAGGGATCGAGACTGTTTGCTGGTGGTGGGCTGGCAGCCCACTGTCTTTGGTTGGTGGCTCCCCTCATCTTCACAAACAGCAGTGATTGTGTTCAGTCTTTGTTAGGCAGCTATTCTTGACTTTTGCTTTTCAGGGGAGCTGGGGAGAGGGTGTTGAGTGGGTAGGACAGTGACCTTTCATGGGCCTGACCCACATATGATACCCCAAGCCCTACCAGCCAGGAGTAAACCAGCCTGGAGCACTCTCAGGTGTGGCACCCAAACCCAGAAACAACCAACCAACCTAACAGAACCTCCCATAGCAGAGTCTTAAGGTCTGGCCCAAGACCAAGCAGCATTACCCAGAAACTTGTCAGAAAAATACAAATACACAGGCCCTTGGGGTCAGAGCAATAGTCCAGTGGTCAGGGCTTTGCCCTGCATGTGACTCACTCAGGTTTGATCTCTGACACTCCTATGGTCCCTTAGTCCCCGCAGGGGTGATCCCAGAGTCCAGAACCAGGAGTAAGCCCTGAGCACCACACCAGGTGTTTCCACGCCAAACAAGCAGACAGACACAAACAGAAAATGCACAGGCCCCTCTCAGCCCTGCTGCCTTGGGAACTCTGGGCTGGGCTTTCATAGCCTTTGGTTGGTTCTGCAGGCACAAGTTTGAAAACACTAGTCCAAGAACAGAAGGGATGGTCCCAGGATGGAGGCCGGTGGCTCTGATCACAGAGCATTCACAAACCCTCTGCAGATGGCTCTGCTTACAGGAGGAAGAGAAAGAACAGGCATTTTTTGTATGTTAAAATTGCATCCATCCGGGAGTCTCTGGAAGTCACGCCTTTCATAACTCAGAGTCAAAAAGTAACATGTCTCCTCCTGAAGGTCACTTAGCACCATCTAGTGTTAGAGTTTGGTAAGACAGGGGTACTTGATTGCTTCCTTTTTATAAAGTGACCTTGGGCGCCAGAGAGATAGTACAGTGAACAGGAGGTTTGCCTTGCATGTGGCCAACTTGGATTTGATCCCTGGCACCCTATTTGGTCCCTTGATCCCCACCAGGAGTGATCCCCGAGTGCAGAGCAGGAGTAAGCCCTGAGCACTGCTGGGTGTGGCTCAAATACACACCTTCCCCACCCCCTAAATGACCTTGGATGCAGAGGAATCAGGGGGACTAGGAGGGGAGAGGCAGGAAGTCACTTCATCAGATTGGGTTCCAAGGTGACATCGTCTAGGTTCCTGTTTACCTGGGCTGATTTTTTTAAATTAATTTATTGACTCACCGTGAGAACAGTTACAAATCTTTCATGTTTTAGTATCGGTCATACAATGATCAACCACTCATCCCTAGATCAGTGCACATTTTCCACCACCAAAAACTTCAGTACACCCCCCATCCCACCCCTATCCCTGCCTGTGTGGCAGAAAATTTCCACATTACTCTCTCTCTCTCTTTCTCTACTTTGAATACATTCAGTATTTTGACAGCAGTCCCACCATTATTATTTGGAATTTTCCCCCAACACACACACCTGCAGAAAAGGCAATGTTATTTTGTTTTGTATTGCTGGCTATGAGTAGCATATGATGTCTGGAATTCTAAAATTTTAATAATTAGGGTCTGGAGAGATTTCTACCAAGAGGTGCTTGGTTCTGAGATTCGTTTGTGTCTCTGGGATCATGGCCGTTAAGGAGCTTAATAAGTAGCCAGGGGTTGTTTGTGGGCATCATCTCAGGGTTCCACTGGGGCAAGGGAGGACTGGATCCTCCCCCTATGCCATGACACCTGGCGTGTGTCATCACTGCTGGCCTGTACCTGGGTTTTTCATTGAATTCTGGAAGATGGCAGCCACCTGGCTTCCTGGGGAACAGGTGGACGGATGGCACCTGCTCCTGTCAGGGGTGGCCTGGGCTGAGTCTTTCTTTTAATTTTTTTCTGCCAAATTCAACCTGAGCAGAGCATGACAGCACTCTTATCCTTGGCTATTCCCAGTCTAACAGGAAGAACAGACAGAAACCAGAACGTCTCTGGTCCCAGCAGAGACTCAGAACCCCCTTGCTCAAAATGAGGCTCAAGCAGCTGCGGAGTCCACACCCTCTATGTGTGTGGTGTTCTGGGGCACAGGCCAGGGGTCTTTGTTCTGATGCCAGTGTGAACACAAGAGCCGGGGTGACTAGCAGAACGGGGCCACAGAGTTGTTCCAAGCAGGGCCCCTGAGTGGTTGGTTTGTATATGGAGTCTGAGTGTACTCTCGGGGACAGGGTGGCCGGGCGTGCTCATTCCCGCACCCTCCATGCTACACGTGGCTTGTTTTATTTGGGGGAGGAGATGCAAGCACTGTAGGTGAAACACGGAGTTCAGGGTCTCTGTCCCAAGGCAGAGAGAAGCAGCAGGCTGACACCTGTTTGGGACTTGCCTCCTTTTTGCTTGTTTTGCAGGCTCCTTATTTATGTTGACCTGTAGGAACATAGTGGGGGCGGGGGGGGGGGGGGGAGGGTGATCATTTCCTTAGCAATCTCAACTACAAGGGAGTGAAAGTAGCAGGAGTGCCGAGCTCCTTGCCTCATATTATTAGCTTTATTATTATTATTATTATTATTATTTAAATAAAGGGGTGGCATTAAAGCATTTGCCTAGTGTCCTTTTGCCTGCCCTTCTGAAAGTGCCCTCGTGTGTCAGCCTTTCTTCCCTTTTTCTTCCCCTGAACTCCCCCTGCAGTTCACAGAACCTGTTTCTTGCTTGTTACTTTTTTTCCTGAAGATGCTTGTCCTTCTTCAGTATGCAGGGCCAGCTCACTGCCCCCTAGAAACCTTCTGGGACTTCCGCCAGCACCCCAGGCCTTTTCACTTTCTTTGTATGCTCTTGGCACTTCCCTTCCCTCCCCCTCCCTTCTCTTCCCTCTCCTCCCTTCCCTTCCCTCCTCTCCCCTCACCTCTCCCTCACTTCCCCTCTCCTTCCCTTCCCTTCCCTCCCCTCCACTCCTCTTCCCTTCCCTTCTCCCACCCTTTTGTTCTATTCTCCTCCTCCTCTACCTTCTCCTCTATTCGTGTCTCCTTCCCACATAACTTATTGAAAACATAGTAAGTCAAGTTTTCAACTCTAAAAACTTTTCTTGCTACTCTTCTAGGTTACATCTATAAATAAATAGAAGAACTAGATTGTCATGAGAATATCATCGTGGAGCCAGAGAGATGACTCAGAGGCCAGGATTTGATCACCAGCACTATCTGTAGCTAGAGCACTGGGAGTGACCTCCAAAGTCAATATCTAGATCAGTCTTTCCCAGGGACAGCTACAAGGCTGGGTGTTAGGCAGATGGCAGAGTCGGGTGCAGGGAGGCAGCGTCAGCCTCTCATTTGGTATAGCATATTCTGTTTGTTCTTTTTCTTTCTCTTTGAAAGAAGAGGATAAACTTTCTAGGGAGAGATGAATAATATTTTTTTTTCTGAAAAGAGGATATTAGGCCCAAATAAATCTGAAACCTCTGCTCTAGATGGTCCGACATGCCCATGCCATCACAGATGTGTAAGAAATTGAGTTCAAGTTGTCTGTCTAGTCCTCCAGACAAAATATGTGATCCAGTGAGTACTGCCCTGAGTATCACCCAGGACCTGGTGGGAAATGCAGAAACTTGGACCGGAGACAAAGTGCTTGCCTTGCATTGGCCAACCTGGCTTCAATCCTCAGCACTGTGTATGGATCCCTGAGTCCCAGCAGGAGTGATCCCTGAGCACAGAGCCAGGAGTAAGCCCTGAGAACAGTCAGATGTATGTCCCACTCTCAGTGCAGAACCTGTGATCCTATGCAGACCCCTTGAATTAGAATCTCCACTTAGCAACATCCTCAGGTAGTTACAGTGTACTTGGAAGTGTGAGCAAGGCTGATTTAGGCAGAAGTAGTTTTGATGGTTTATTTTGGTTTTGAGGACAACAGTTTAGATCTTCTTCTCCTAGGGAAAATGAGATTCTAACTCCCAATACTAAATTTGAAAATATGCACACATGTGGGTCTTCGGGCATTGTGCACCTTCTAAGGAGATTGCCAGGCTTCCTCTTTTTTATTTCCTACCTTAATTTTTACTTGTTCTGCATTATACATAAAATATTTCTTTAAAGTTATTTAGACTTTTTTTTTTAAAAAAAAAAACCTTTATTTGGTTTTTGGCTCATACCCAGCAGTAGTCAGCACTTACTCCTGGTTCTGTGTTCAGAGATCATTCCTGATCAGGATAAAGATACCATATGAGGTGCTGGGGATTGAATCCAGGTTGGCCATGTGCAAATCAAGTGCACCCCCCCCTATTGTATTATCTCTCCATCCCACTAAATTTATTTTATTTGTACACAAGTACACACACACAGATACACACACATTACTCTACTTGACCAAAAATCAGGAGAAAGTTGGAATAACTTCCTTAATAATAAACCATCATAAATAGGGAAACATCATCTTATAAAAATAAACATTTAAAATTCTTTTATAAAATATTTTAAGAATAGCATATTATATGCATAAGTAGATATTTTAGTCATTTTTTGGCTATCAGATTTATACTAGCTCATTGAAGTGTGAATAATACAATTATTATTTTTGAATTGTAAATGTCATTCCTAGACAACAGTATCTTAATTATCTTAATTCTGGTTTTGTCAGCTACAGATTGCCTTTCGGATGGGTTCTGTTAAGAACCAATTTTGAAGGGTGTGATGCTGGTATAAGGAGAAGGAGCTCAGTTTTTCACACTCGTCTTTAGCTTAAGGATTCCAGCATGATTCATTGCTGAAAAAGAAGCTGACTACAGACTAAACGAATGAACTTGAATGAACTTGACACAGACAGTCCTGCCAGGTCTGTGTTCTGGGGGAAATTGAGGGATGGGTTTCTTACATTTATGTCTTTGTCCACAGACAGAAACCTTGGAACAAGCTATTAAAGATGCTCATGAGTGTTACGACGATGAGATACAGCTCTATAATGAACAGATAGAATCCCTGCGCAAGGAAATTGAAGAGATGGAGAAGGTCCTGGAGAAGTCTTCCTATGAGTGTCAGCAGCTGGTGGTTGCCCAGCAGACCCTGAAAAATGAGCTGGACCGATATCATCGGATCATTGAGAATGAAGGCAGCAGGTGTGGTCAGTGGGGGAAGTTGAGAGAATGCCTGGTTTCTTCATCTGGGCACAGATTCCACAAGTATTAGCTGAGTGCCTACTTTGTGTCAGGCACAGTCCTGGACAGGGTGGATGTGGCAGGGAATGAAAAACAAAAGTATATGACTGTGGAACTTGAGTGCTGGTTGGGGAGATAGATAATGGATGAATTTGTAATAGAGGTATTAGGACAACATAGGACAAGTACTTTGGAAGTAAATTATGGTGAGGGAAGAGAGGAGAGATCCAGGGTTATAGGCGATGTGGTATTTGAGATTTTAACTAGGGTAATGAGGAATGGCCTTGCTGTCAAGGCCATTTGTCCCACAGGCCCTCTGAGATGTAAATAACTTAGCATATAGGTTGGTTAGCACAGTTCTGGTCCTCAACAAGTGCTTAGAGGTCATTGATGTTACGATTGCTAGTGTCACTGTGATATCTGCAGGTACAACTTCATTTCCTAAACCAGTATTTCCCAAAATTTTCCTGGAGTGGGGCATTAAAATAATCTAGGGGGTATTAGCCTCAGGTGCAGTTGACCACTTTCTCTTTTCTTAAAGAAGGTGGATTTGGGGAGTCACTGAGTTACTTTACTGAAAAGGAGCATTAAGCCAAATACATTTGGAACCTCTGTGTTGTAGCTACTCCCTCACCTTATGTGTGTATCTGTATCATCTATATATACTTCACATATACATTTGCATCAATATGTACATGATATATCTATACACATACTAGTATATAGAAAATGTGCATTTCTGCCCATATTGTTAATATTGAAACCTACAACATTGTCTATGCTAAGATCGACTATATTGATGCCATACCCTTGTTGGTAGATACCAGAGAACAGCATGGGAATAGGTACCTTATGGAAAGACTGATTATTTTTTATTAAGTTATGATTTTTCTATTTAATATTTCTGATTTGAAGGAGTTTTAGATTGACTTCAAAAGAAGAACCTAAAAGTACTCCACAAAGAGCAGTTCTTTCCTTCTTTGGGGTATTCGATTTTGCCTGAGAGTACTCAAATGTTTAACAATAGAAAGCCATCTTCTTTTTTCTCTAGTTATGGTCAGTGTACCATACATAATTCTGAAGTATTTATGTCACATATTGTGTGCACATTTATAAAAATAGTTCTTGAACTGGCATTTAAATGTCTTTGTGAAAAATTTTGTGTTGGAGAGAAGATTACATAAAAAGCTTACTGTATGTCTCTTTTGTTGATTTGTTTTATTTCAACTTTATGATTTGTTTTATTTCAACTTTATTTTCATAAAGTTTTTCACAGTAATTGATTACATTCAATATTTCAACACCAACTCTACTGCCATTACCCCTTCCTTCCACCATTATTTTGAATTTTTTCACCACTACTAAAGCCTGCCCCACAGGCAGATGCTAGTGGTCCTGAGAGCTTACTCCTGGCTCGGTGCTCAGGGGTCACTTTTGAAGGGCTTGGAGGGACCCTATGGAGATTGAAACTGAGTCAGCAAGGCAAGCACCCTACCTTCTCCAGCCCTCTAATTTGGTTGTCTCTAAAATGTTGACCTAACCCCACTTTCTTGTGCTCTCTTCCAGGCTGAGCTCCACTTTCCTTGAAACTCCAGTCTCCATGTTTGCTCAGAGTCTTGGATCTAACTTCAGCTCTCTCCCAAGTGGGAAAGGTAATAAATACTCCATCAGGGTCCTCAGGCTCCCTCTCACTCCCCACCCTCTCTCCTTAACAAACACATATTTTGTTTGTTTTTGTGCCACACCCAGGGAGGCCTAGGGCTAACTTGTCTCTGCACTCAGAGATCACTCCTGTTAGGACTCTGGGGACCATATGGGGTGCTGGAGATGTAAAGTGATTACCCTACACACTGTACTATTGCTCCAGTCCCTGTCTGCCTCTTTCTCCCTACCCATTCTCAGTTCTATAACTTAGTATGTGGAGATTTCTCACAAAAATGTCAACAGAGCTATCATATGACCCAGCAATTCCATTTCTTGATATCTATCCCCAAGACACAAAAACGTTCATTCAGAAGGACATACACACATCACTATTCATTTCAGCACTAGCTTGGATGTAGTATCCACCCAGATGCCCATGGCAGATGAATGGATAATGAAGGTGTGGTATATAGACACAGTGGAATACTCTGCAGCTATTAGGAAGGATGAAATCATCCAATTCACTTGGATGAAACTGGATGATATCAGGTTAAATGAAATAACTCAGAAAAAGGACAAATTCTGGGTGTTGTTATTTATTTGTCTTGGAATACTTGTGGGAGAGGGAGCTATCGCATGACTTGATTTTATTCTCATCATGCCTGGAGTAATTCAGGCCATGCCAGATCATACTTCTAGAACTCCCCTCCCCTCCCCTCCCCTCCCCTCCCCTCCCCTCCCCTCCCCTCCCCTCCTCTCCCCCCCCCTCCCTTTTGTTTTTGGGGCAGCCCAGCTATGCTCAGGGCTTTTTCTTGGTGGGGTTCTCGAGACTGTATGGGGTCCTAGGGATCAAACCTTGGTCAGCTGTGTGTAAGTCAAGTGCTTTGCTTGTATTATCTCTGTACACAGCTTATATTTCAATGAATACATTGCCCCTACTCTTGTCACTGGGCTGGAGCGATAGCACAGCGGTACGGCGTTTGCCTTGCACGCTATTCGATTCCTCCGCCCCTCTCGGAGAGCCCGGCAAGCTGCCGAGAGTATCTCACCTTCACGGCAGAGCCTGGCAATCTCCCCGTGACGTATTCGGTATGCCAAACACAGTAACAACAAAGTCTCCAATGGAGACGTTACTGGGCCCGCTCGAGCAAATCGATGATCAATGGGAGGGCCTTTACTTTACTTACTTTACTCTTGTCACTACCAATTATACTTCGAAAATTTATTTATTTTTTATTTATAGAGATCACCAGGACTATGCCGGTTATAATAGCAGCAAAACCAAGACAAAAAGGCTTCCCCAAGTATGTTCCAAGAAGAAAGGAGATCATACTTAAACACAAACCAGAAGACAGTCTAAAAGGCACAGAACAGATGCAAGGTGCACTTAAAGAAGAATTCAAATCTGAGTTTGAATCTGAGGGTCAGGAGGCAAGTCCTTCCATTGTAGAAGAGTCTCTGGAAGATGTGCCTGATGGAGGACGAATAAGCAAAGCCTTTGGGAAACTCTGCAGGATGGTCAAGGAGAGAGTGAAAAGCCCCAAAGAGCCGGAGCCTCCAGCAGCCCTCCATACCAAAGAGCGGTATGTGTTGGTCTCCAGGGATGACCTTTATGAAGATGCTGGATTCTATTCCTTCTCCAACCCGGCCAAAGGAAGGGTGGTTGTTTTCATGGAGGATGGCTCTATGCATCGTGGTAGACTGGGGGAACTGTCTACCGAGCATCCCCAGACCTTTCTGGAGAATGGGCAGGGAGATCCCCAAGATAAAGAAGGTGCATACTCTTCCAGTCCGCATACTACAGACTTCAAAAAGAAGGAGCTAAATGCCAAAGAGAAGGAAGGCCCCAGGGTGAAATGTACTGCCCAGAAGGAGGATGAGGGGTCTGAGAAGCCCTGTCCAGTGGTCATATCTGCTCCAGAGCAACTGTCTACATCACAGTCTGAAAGGCCTGAAGTCAAGCAGGATCGATTTGAGGTCCATGGGCCTGTGAGCACCTGTGTGTTGGAGAGGAGTGCCCCCCGGAATCTGGCCCGTGGGAAGGTGAAAGTGGTTGAATCCATTGAGAAGTTTTCAACTGAGAGTATTGAGACCTATGAAGAAACTGCTGTAGTTGTGGAGACCACGACTGAAAAGACAAAACCAAAGAAGAAGAAACTGGGAGACAAGGGCTCTTAAAATGCCTCAGCTCCAAAGGAGGAAATGTTATCAGGGCCACTTGAGGGGAAGTGCCTTGATCCTTTAGAACAAACGATAGAGCATCAGAAATTCCTGTTTGGATTAGAATATAGTTGGCTCATCTGGCACTGTCAGTGGTGACTTAATTAATTAAAAAGTTTTCTTTGCTTGCACATTCTTTGCCTAATTAACAGGAGCTTTTGGGGCTTTGGTGAGGTAGAACAAGGATTCTTGTGAAACAGCTGCCAAGCCATATTGGGTTAGGAGAGAGGCTTGCTCCTCTGGTTTGACAGAGGTGCCCACAAGTAGGAGTCAGTCTGCAGGTGAAGAAAGGTTGAAAGCCACTGGTCTGCACCTTGGTTATAACTACTAGTATGTGGACTGGAGTACAGAACATATGACAATTCACAGGTGTGAGAAGATTTGAGAGTGCTGCATTACAGACTTGGGGCATGCTGCAAATCCTAGTTGATGGCATTGGTTCTTTTGCATTCCAGTTTAAGCACACATGGAGGAGTATTTGGTTGGAGAAAACAATGAATGGTATCTGTCATAGTCTACATTGATCTAGAAGTAGATGATCCTCGGCCATAAAGGTAGTTGAGTGGGAGGTGATTTGCCTTTCACTGTAGCCAATCCAGGTTCCATCTTTGTCTTCACATATGACTTCCAGAGCCTTCTAGCAGTTATCCCTGAGCACAGAGCTAGTAGTAACCCCTGACCACTGCTGAGTGTGCCTCTGAAACAAACAAAGAAAACCAGAAGCAAATATTTGGATGTATAATTAACAAGCGATAGCATAGCGGGTAGGGCGTCTGCCTTGCACGCAGCCAACATGGCTGACCCGAGTTCGATTCCTCCGCCCCTCTCGGAGAGCCCGGCAAGCTACCAAAGTATTCGATATGCCAGACACAGTAACAACAAAGTCTCCAATGGAGACGTTACTGGGCCTGCTCGAGCAAATCGATGATCAATGGGAGGGCCTTTACTTTACTACTTTATAATTAACAAATGAGAGGGTGAGGGGTGACCCTCCCATGGAGATCTATATAAAATTTTGACTCCTTATAACCCAATTATGGTGTCTTTTGCTATCTACAGTTACTCTCAAACTGAGGAGAATTGGGTTCAGAATCCTCTTACGTACCATAATTCTAAGATGCTCAAGTTCCTTGTGGTAGATCCTTTTTTTTGGCAATTCAAACTAATATTTATGTTTGTCATTTCTACAAAGGAGCATATTGAGTCTTCCAAATATCACCTTTCATTTATCCTTGAAGGTGATAGTCTAAGTCTCCAAATGTCCTTTTTGTATGGACACAAGAAGACAGTATATGCTATGCTTTTGTTATGTGACTCTCAGTGATATTTTCCTCCTGGGCATCTGTTCTCTCCTTCTCAGCTGCCCTTTCTTCCTAGCGCCCCCAAAAGCAGGGTCCCGACAAGGGCAAGCGGTAAGCTATGTGCTACCCTGGCATCAAGATGGGCCTGGCCAAAGTGCCATAATGCTTAACTGTAAGTTAAGAGCTTGTTCATGGACAAATGCTGTCATGATCCAAAAAGTAATAACTAGATTTGGACCCTGCTACGGTTAGGAAAGATTAATCTGGCCTGAGAGCTGTAGTCTGAGTCTGTGGCAAGATGTTCCCAGGAGAGCTGCCCTACAAGCCTCAATGTTATCTCTTACTGTGTCCATACAAAAATAACTAGTATTAAGATGTTGATAGAGTTATTGGACTAAGGAAAAGAGAAAAACACCTTAAGGGGTATTTTGCCCTTGGGAAATCAGGAAAGGCTTTGGAATACCTCTTAAGTGGTGTTCCCTTTGAACCTGGTGGGTCCTCAGGAAGGGTTTTCTTATGTTGATTTTGCTACCTGACTGGGTGCAGTGTCAGCCCAGAGTGCTGGGGAGTTGGAGAGGCAAGAGAGCTGGTGAGAGTGAGAGAAAGAGCAGGGTGGCAAGGTGGACCATGGAGAGGCTAGCAAGGGGGACAGAGAGAGAAGAATGTAGAAGAATTCAGGAGCAGGCACGGAGAAAGAGAGAGAGAGAGAGAGAGAGAGAGAGAGAGAGAGAGAGAGAGAGAGAGAGAGAGAGAGAGAGAGAGAGAGAGAGAACCCAGGCCGAGAGATGAGCAGGAGAGACAGAAGGAGATAGGAATGATGAGCACTGTGAGACTAGAATGGGAAGCTCAGAGAGACTGGGGCAGGCGCATGGGGAGAATGGAATAAACGGCTTAGCCCTGTCTCCTCCACCGTCTGCCCCATGGCCCTGGTCGCCCCAGCTAGGGAAGCGGCCCAGTGCCCCCTTGCGGTAGATTCTGAAGGTCCAACAATCTGATATCCATGGTCAGTTGAATATGTAGATGTGGAAGTCAGGGTATGGCATGCCACTGCAGTGAAAAAGAATCCACACAGTAATGGATTCACACAGTTTTAAAAGTGTCTTCTGCAGTTGTTTTGGCATGTGATTCTAGGGAAAACAGAGGGAGATGGGGATAATGAGACAGTCATGTGAGATGTGTGTTACCAGATCTGCAACATAGACAGCTGGAGTTTTTCTGCCAAACCATGAGAGAGTTGGAGAATTTGTCAACCAGCCTTTGCCAGCCAGCTGAAAGAGATGTTCCTAGGGTGTTAACTTTGGGGGCCAAGAAAGCATGGCACAGATGCTAGCTTTTGGACTTCAGGCATGAAAGTATGTAGAAATGGTATGTAAATATGTAAAATGATCAGGAGATATAGGTAGGCACACTCTGCACAACAAATTCACTAAATACGTTTTCCCCTTAATGTACTACAGTGATCTTACCCCAAGATTGCACCCTTGGATTTCAAAAAGCAAAGCAAATGTCAACACATAAGGCCCTTGTCTGGGACTTAATTAGACCAACAAACATGTTATATAGTGATACAGATATTTTTAAAAGATTTGTTTTGATTTGCATCTCTTTGATGGCTAGCGATGTGGAGCATTTTTTCATGTGCCTTTTGGTCATTTATATTTCTTTTTTGAGGAAACTTCTGTTCATTTCTTCTCCCCATTTTTTGATGGGGTTGGAGGTCTTTTTCTTTTACAATACTACTAGTGTCTTGTATATCCTGGATATTAATCTTTTATCAGATGGGTTTTGGGTAAATATTCTTTCCCATTCTGTGGTCTCTTTTTTAATTTTGGTCACTGTTTCTTTTGAAGCGCAGAAGCTTCTTAGTTTGATGTAGTCCCATTTGTTTATGTTTGCTTTCACTTGCATGGTCAGTGCTGTTTCATCCTTAAAGATTCTTTTAGCTTCAATGTCATAGAGAGTTCTGCCTACATTTTCCTCTATGTACCTTATGGATTCATGTCTGATATTGAGGTGTTTAATCCACTTTGATCTGACTTTTGTGCCTGGCATTAGACAGAGGTCAGCATTCATTTTTTTGCAGGCAGCTATCCAGTTTTCCCAGCACTACTTGTTGAAGAGGCTTTCTTTGTTACACTTCACATTTCTTACTCCTTTGCCAAAGAGTAAGTGGTCATATACTTGTGACAGAATATTCAACTCTGTTCCATTGGTCTGCAGTCTGTTTCTAGCCCAGTATCATGTTGTCTTAATTACATGCTGTCTTAATTACTACATCTCACACCACAGAGACTGGCACACATTCAAAAGAAAAAAGCAACCATTGCTGGCATATGGGGAAAAAGGGACACTCTCACTGTTGGTGGGAATGCCTACTAGTCCAGACTTTCTGGGAAACAATATGGACAATCCTTCAAAAACTAGAAACTGAGCTTCCATATGACCCTGCAATACCACTTCTGGGAATATATCCTGAGTATGCAAAAAAGCACACTAGAAATCACATTTGTACCTATATGTTCATTGCAGCACTGTTCAAAATAGCCCAAATCTGGAAACAACCCAAGTGCCCTAGAACAGATGACTGGTTAAAGAAACTTTGGTACATTTACACAATGGAATACTATGCAGCTATCAGGAGAGATGAAGTCATGAACTTTGCTTCTAAATGAATAGACATGGAGAATATCATGCTAAGTGAAATGAGTCAGAAAGAGAGGGACAGACTTAGAAGGACTGCACTCATTTGTGGAGTATAAAATAACATAACATGAGGCTGACACCTAAGGATAGTAGATACATGGGACAGATAGATTGCTCCATAGCTGAAAGCCTGCCTCATGAGCAAAGGGGAGAAGGCAGCTGGAATAGAGAAGGGATCACTAAGAAAAAGATGGCTGGAGGAATCGGTCGGGATGGGAGATGTGTGCAGAAAGTGGATAAAGGACCAAACATGATAACCTCTCAGTGTCTGTATTGCAAACCATAATTCCCAAAAATAGAGATTATGGGGAATCATGTCTGCCATGGAGGCATTTGATTTTCTTTCTAACCCACTGGTTTTCAGTAGTGAACTATTTAATTTCTAAGTGTTTGATTTGATTTTGTTTCTGTGTGTGATTCACTTCTATTTTCAGTGCATCATGATCTGAAAATATCATTAATACAAGCTCTCTTCTCTTAATTTTATGGAGGTATGTTTTGTGGCCCAGCGTGTGGTCTATCTTGGAGAATGTCCCACGTGTGCTTGAAAAGAATGTGTATTCAGCTTTTCTGGGGATGAAGTTTTTTTTTTTTTTTTAAATTTTATTAGTGAAACACCATGAGGTACAGTTGTAGACTTACGAATTTTTGTGCTTGGGTTTTTTTTTCTTTTTTTATTAGTGAAAAACCATGAGGTACAGTTATAGGCTTACAAATTTTGTGCTTGGGTTTCAGTTATACAATGATCAAGTGCCCATCCCTCCACCAGTGCCCGTCATCCATCCCCATGGGTCCCAGCATCCCCCCCCCTTCATCCCCCCCCCCCCCCCGTCCCATCCTGCCTCTGTGGCAGGGTATTACCCCTTGTTCTCTCTCTCTTCTTTTGGGTACTGTGTTTTGCAAGAGAGGCTTTGAGTGGCAATCATGTTTGGTCTATCGACTACTTTTAGCATGCTTCTCCCACCCTGGGAG